AAACTATATAAATAATATGCGAACTCAATTGAAATTGATCGGCAAAATTAGCCAATCAGACAAACTTCTGCCTATGACACTTGATCTGCAATGTCACGTGAAAGCCACAGGTGTGCATTTAGGGAGGGTGGTTTTATATAGTTGGGAATGAAAAAAGACTGTGCAGTGCAGGTATAGAGGGATGCACTTATCTCTTAAGTCCCAAGCTTAGGAATGAGTGAAAGCATGCATTTAGGGGGTTGACTGTAAAGAAATAGTTACCAAAAATTCTATAAATGTTGACAAAAATGTAACAGCTTCAAATAAAAATTACAACAATCACAAGAAGTATTAATGAAAGAAAAAGAATTGGAAAAGGCAGAGGAAAAAACCAGAAAAAATAGTTTACCCACAGATTTTTTTGATGATCCTACTATGAATAAAAATAACAACAATAATAGTATTGGGAGCAATAAAGTTAATAATAGTTTAAAAGTATCAATATCAACAACACAGGAGAAGTCATCTAATCAAGTTGATGAACAAGAATGGGTTAAATTTCAAAACTTATAAGCAAAGAGACTCAATTAAGTCATCAAATAGCTGGTGTAGATGATGAAGAATTACAGAAAGATGGAGATGAGAAAGAGAACAAGAAGGTTTTATTAAAAGGCTAGAGCAATTAAAAGAATTTGCTAATAAAGTTTGTAAATCCTGTGAAAGTAAAATGATGATTACTACAAAATCAAAATGTTGACAAGGATGTGGACAAGGGCAAAGATGATAAGGATGAAGTATATGAGAATGAATGGATGGATTGGAGAGCACAAAAAGTTTTATAAATAGAAATAGGGATTAAATTTATAAATTTGTCAAAAGCTATTTTATTAATAAAAAAAATCAGATTCTGTGATGAATCATTATTATTTTTTCAAAATTAATATAAATTTAATATTTAATATACATAACTCACCTATTAAAATTAGTTAAAAACCAATAATATAGTAATCATCAACTTTACATTCATAAATAAATAATATTTTTGTCAAGTTCAATTTTAATATCAGTCTCATTTAAAGAATTGAAAATCTTTTTTGATTTGTCATCATCATCTTTCCTTTTCATTATCCATATTTTTGGTTTCAAAACTATTTCTATAGGAAAGACCAATTCAAACATTTCTTTAAACTGATAATAATTGTTTTTGTTATAGCTAACAAGTAGATTAAACAAATCAATCCACATCAGAGTAAATTCATTTGTTTTTTTGATTCTCAAAAATTGATATCCATCAACCATGTCAATGATGGTAAAACTACCTTCATGAAATTTAGGTTTAGAAGTTAATAAATGTGTATATGATTTATAATCTTCTGGTGATGAATGTGATTCATCTTTTGAGTAATGCCAGTCATTTCTCAATTCACCAAATCTGGATACACCTGTCATTGCTGAATCAACATCTATATGTATTCTAGCTATAAATATAATATAAATATAAGTTATATCTATTTTAAAAAAAATCAAATTAGAATTAAATTATAAAAAATTTCTTACCATCAAGAAAATCATTTTCAATAATGTGCAAGTTTTGTAAAGCCACTCCACCAGGATAATTATAACTTGAAATAATAGCCATCAACAAACTTATGAAAAGAAGGCTTAAAAAAAGAAGCCCCATAATTGACTTTAACAAATTATGAACTAATCTCGATACATGTTGTTCGCTTTATTATTATTATAAATTTAATAATAATATAAGTATTAATGATTAAGTAATTAAATATACATATAAAAATTAAATTTACATACATCCATACAATTCCAAGTGCTGAGCACATGTTAAATATTGGTACTACATAAACAATAAATCGCCATTCTTTATGTCCAAGAAATGAGAATAAAAACACAAAAATTATCATTGGTAAGAAAAATTCATGAGTACGTTGATCCACAAATATTGAAAGTATACTTAACGGTAAAGATAATAGTAGAAGACGTGGGAGAAATGATGTGAAATAGATGTGAAAAGGTGAAACCTTTTGATAAATTTTTGGTAGAAAAAAAATATATATTAAATATATATAAATATATTGGCTTTTGTAAGAAACTATACTTACTCCCCAGTCCACACTTTTGCCCAATATTACATTGAAATGGAATGCAAAAAATTCTGGCCACATAAATGTTTGCCAAAAGTATGAATCAATAATTAAGGTTAATGCTGTATTTGAATGTTTAAAAAAACATATATATATATATATATATATTTGTTAATATACTTATGAATAGGTAGTAATAACTAAATATTGGTTATCTACCTAAATAAATAGGAATGGCAATAGTTAGCTGATCGAGTAACTCATAGAAATTCAAATTTCTAAGTGATAATTCCAAGATTAAGATCAAAGAAAGTAACATCAAAACCTCGAAACGAAATATTACTGCTGTAAATATTAAATAATGGATCATTGAAGACATGTGTTTTTTCATTTTTGAAGTTTCAGAAGGTGATGATGGTGATGATGATGAATTTGTAGCCATCACCCAATGAGAAAATGCCTTAATAACTATATATATATGAATTTTCTTAGGTATAAATGATTCATCATAAAAAATAAAATAAAAGATTTCTTATTTAGTTACCTAATGGATATGCAAACATGTTTGGTAATGTTCTACTTGCCCAAAATATAGTGTGAAACTGACAACCACTTATAACACCAAATAAAATAGCAACTCTTTGACCAAATGATTTTTTGATTGATGTTCGAAGACAAGAAAGTGTGTATACATTAAATAAACCAAAAACAATTCGAACTATTTTTTTTTTTTTTTTATAAGCAAAGATGATTTATTTATTTATTCAATTATTATTAATTTAGAATTTATTCTACATAAACAAAATTGACCTACCTTATTATTTTAAGTTTAAAAAGATAACTTACCAACATATTGGGAATAAAATTTAATCCAAGTAGGAATTAAAATTTTCATAATATGTATAATAGGCCAACTTATTCCACTTAATATTAAAGAGCCTATAAAAGTTCTAGGAACAACTCCAGGAAATTCAAAATGATCATACTTTTTTTTTAAAAAATGTATATAAGCTTGAATGTATAAAATAAAAAATGTTTATTATTTTATGAAACCTCATACATTTTCTAAACCTTCAATATCAACTCCATATTCCAAGATGTCATGTATTGCTTGAATATTAAAACTTTCTTCAACCTTTGTAAAAGGACATAATATCACATAAAATGTTACTATGCAAATAAGAAAAAAATCCAACTTGTCCATAATTTTATTTTATTTTGAAAGGGAATCAAAAAATTTATAAATATGGCTGGTGTTACATGAATTTAATAAATTAAAATGTAATGATTCTATACAGTCGAACCCTCGTTTCAACGGATTTTTAGTTTACCCCTTGATTTTATTAATTAATATTAAAAAATTCTCGTTTCGACGGATTTTATATTTAATGTTAAATCGCGTTTCAACGGACAACGGATTTTTTGGTAGGATTTTAGTAATAAGTACTAATCACGTTACAACGGATTCACGTGATATAGATTTTATAAAAAAAAAACCACATTACTATGTTAAGATTAATTCATTGCTAAATAATAATATAAACTCTCAAAAATATCAATATGATTTTACATGAATAATTCTCACATTGCTAAATAATAATATTAATCAAAAATTTTCCATATTTCTAAATAATAATTTTACACGAATAATTAAACACACATTATTAAATAATAATATTAATCAAACTTTCCATATTTCTAAATAATGATTTTACATGAATAATTAAACACACATCTCTAAATAATAATATTAAATCAAATTTTCCATATTTCTAAATTGATAATAAATAAATATCTTCTCATAATCAACATTTTCTTTGATTTCTTTAAATTAATAAATCTCTAAATTCTACAAAATCAAAATGTCTCAACAACTATCTTCTTTTTCCAAAAAATATGAAAAAACTTTTGAAACTACTTTTAATTTTCTTGAACAAAATAATATACAAGCAGATTATAATGAATTAAAAGCTTTAAAATAATTGAAAAAAATAAAATAAAATCATATAGTATTCAAAATTCAATACAAACAAACATTGCTAGTTTTTTCAGTAAATAATTGACTAATAATTATCATTTTAATTTTTTGTAAATTTTACTGCATTATATCAAGTATTTGTATTAATATTAAGTATTATTATATTTAACAAAAAAAATTTTCCTGTTGATCCTGTTGATCATTATCTCGTTTCAACGGATTTAGGTGGTCAGTCCCATAGATCTGTTGAAACGAGGTTTGACTGTATAGTAATGTTGTACGTGAAAATGAAATTATGTGAATTCGCAATTCACATATGTGAAATTCAAATTTACATGCGTGAAATTCA